AACATGAAGTGGTTATGAAGGCTTAAGAGCTTACAGTGGCGTTGGGACCACAAGTCTTAATCATTTCTTTTTTGTGGTAATTGCCCAAACAGTGAGCCCACTCATCAGTTACGGACAAACTTAGTCCAAATACTGCAGTGCAGCGAAAACAGCTGATATAAGCAATAAAGTCTTCAACAGAAATGACTAAGCAAGTAAACAAATAACTAGATGAATTATGAGAATGGACAAATTACAGGATGTTTCTGGTTCACAAAATTCCACTTCACGCATTTGTAGCTCAATTTTATAGAGATGTTACAAAGGTTTTAAAGTCACATTATTAAAGGAATAGTTATACACTATACACTTTTCTTTCTAGTGGAGCGTTTGATGAAATAATTGATACCTCTCACAACTATTGGTTATAGCCACAGTCAGTAGTTGATTTGCTTATATTAGCACGAAGTCGTGAAAACTAGCTTGGCTCTGTCCAAAAGCATCACATTCTACCTCCCAGCACCTCTAAAGTTTTCTAATTAACACATTAAATCTTCATTGTTTTACCCATCGGACATGCTCAGAGCAGCTGCTTAGAGCCCAGAAAGACACACAACCATAATCATAAAACACCAAATTGATTTAGTATTGGTTAAACAAATTATATATTGCGGATAAATTAGTCATGCTTAGAGATTCTAGTAGGCAGATTTTGTTAACTTCAGACAAAGCCAGGCTAGCTGTTTCTCCCTGTTTCAAGCCTTGGTGCTAAGCTAAGCTAACCAGCTCCTTGCTGTACTTTTATATGGGTTTTTTTTGTCCATAATTTCTATCGGTAAGGATATTTTTGCACTCATTAAAGTAATTCACACACTCATTATACTGTATATACACATGCATTGTTCCGTTGTACGATTGTCATAGTTGCAAATCGAATAACATTTTATCTTTGCTTTCAAGCCACTTGAACCAGTACCTGCCTGACTGCCTACCTATCTACTGTGCCCGCCTGTAGGCCTTTTGATTTTAATAAACCACCAAAAGCATGCAGTATCTTTTACTGTCCTTCCTTTGTTGCTACTCTCCCTCATCGTTTTACCACAACAGGTCTGTAAACTGTGATGGATCTTTACAACAAACATATTGGGAAATAATTTGACAGTTCACATTTGTTTTCTCTCCCAAATAAGTCGGGCTAACCTGGATGTTTGTTGAGTATCGACCACCATGTTCTGAGATTACAGCAATTAACGTGGTTCATACAATGTTATTATAATGCTGTATGAGTTTTAATAAACCAAAATTATCCTGAGCCACCAATAAATTCAAATACAGGATTGTCTACTTTGTATATGACATGTATGTAATTGAGAATGGCTGTTTTGTTGACTGGCCTCTCTCTCCTCTAAGCCACAAATCAGTCTGCCACATCTCTGTTGACTGACCGTCTGGTGTGGGTAACTGGGGGAGGAAAATATCCTCTGGAGGACATTAAAATAGTTTATTGGCTCATTATGAATCCTGGAACAACAAGAACACACTGATTGAGACAAACAATCAGCAGTACTGGAACAGACACGTGTGCTGTGCTGCATGTACACTCTGTGCCACCTCCATCCATCCTGTGTCTGGTGGGATGTTCTGACATTAACACAGTTTAATTATATTGTAATTTTCTTATGTTTCAACTTTCATATTTTAAAGAACATTTGATTCGTCTTTTCTAAAATGTAAAATTCTCCTGCAATCTTTATATCAAGTTACATGAATATATGCCCTGGAAATAAGTACACAATTTAATGTTTCTACAAAACAGAAATAACACGGAAAAGTCAAAACAAAAATAACTTCAGGCTAGACTCAAAACTTCCCAATGGCTAAATGTACACCACCACCAATTTCACTTTCACCTTTTAAAATGATATTCAAATGCACTGAAATTTATCAAAATCAACAACATATTAGTAAAACTTGCAGAAACCCTGTCTGGATAATGGGCATCATAGCAACCTAGCAGTATAAGGATTTGGTCGTACCAACATTTTTAAAGCAGCTATAATCTATATAAAGATTTTTATAGCAACAGTGGATCAAATGAGTCTCTGCAGTTCGCCTCAGATTTAGCCTTTTTCAGCTTGCAACTTTACTGTTTTGGTTAGCGTAAACTGATCTGGTAACATTTTTACCAGCAGCAGGCAGCTGTTTTCAGCAAAAACCCACTGTATCTGCCCAGCACAAAGCAGCAGACAGACTTTGCGACAAGCTGGTGAACATAGTGTAGCATTTAGCAGCTAAGGAGTCAGACTACACCCCTCACATTTTTGTAAATCATATGACAACTCTGAAGAAATGATACTTCCCCTCCCTTTTCTTGCCAGCGGTTTAGACATTAATGGCGGTGTAATGTTTTATTTTGAGGGGACAGCACATTTACACTGTTATACAAGCTGTACAGTCACTACTTTACTTTGTAGCAAAGTGTCATTTCTTCAGTGTTGTCACATGAAAAGATATAATCAAATATTTAGAGAAATGTGAGGGGTGTACTCACCTTTGTGAGATACAGTATGTCCCTCAGAAGTTAGTTAGACCTAACCACAGCTAAAAGAAAGTGAATGTGAAGAAAGTTCACCATATCAACTTAAAAGGTGATGATATGTCAGTGCTGTTTAAGATGTGAAAAAGGCAGGTTTACATGCAAAGGTTCAGGCAGAAATCAACAAATTTCAAAGAGAATCACTGCAATCAGTTGATTCACTCACAAAAGGCGAACTGCAGTGTTTGGTCAAGCACCTTTGTCAGACATAATCTCCTTCATTATTTCATAATTTTCTGGCCATCATACAGGCATAAATGCAATAAAAAATCTATCTGGGTATCATGTCGGTGTGCTAGAAAAAGTGTAAGAGAGGGTTGTGATGGCATAGCTTTACGTACTTTTCAGGAGATTGCTCAGTTCTGTTCCTGCTTTGTGGTGGTAATGGGAAACATATCACAAGGTTTAATCAAAATAAGCTGAACTGGTGAGTTGAGAGGAAATAATTGAGAGAAAGGAAGAATCAGCGATAATTGAGAAGAGAGTGATTGTGGAACATAATTGAAGCAAAAAAGATACATACAAAACAGAAAGAAAGGAACTCACTGATGATAAAAGACGGGCAGTCTACCTGAGGGAGAGAGGTGGCAAGGGGGTGCCATGGGGATACAAAGCCCCTCATTATTTTCCAGTCCACCAGGCAGCTGATTTCTGTTATTAGCTACAGGGCTCAGTAGTTCAGCGCCACTGCAGTGTTTATGTCCCACTGAGTAAAGCTTCCATTTATGGCACAGTCTTAAATAATCACAAAATACTGTGAATAATCACAAAATACTGTGTGCTATGATGGATGTAGCCCACGTTAATGCAGAGCTTTCACTTTATCCAAATTTGAATAAATGCAGACTTGTTTCCAAACTGTGTCAAACGTTAGTAACTGCCGTCAAACCTTAGTGACTGCCGTCATACCTTAGTGACTGCCGTCAAACCTTAGTGACTGCCGTCAAACCTTAGTGACTGCCTGAAATGCATCATTCAGAGTCAAAAATTCTGCCCCGTGTAGTTGTTTTATTAAAAAGACATTAAAATTATAATTATTCATCAACAATTTGTAGTGAGTTTGTAAAAACAAACTTGTATAAATTGTTTTGTCTACTGTCAGTATTTTATGAAAGGTGACCAACAATTTCGGAATGAACCATTTGAAATTCAATAGTCCTTGCAAAAGCCGCTCATGAGCACAGTTGATACTGAACTAGACTCTGTAGCCATACTACAGGTGCTGTGAGGCTGTACTAAATCTAAAGCTAAATCCTAATGTCAGCGTGCAGAAACAATTTCATGGCAATCCATCCAGTGGTTGTTGAGACATTTCAGTCTGGACCAAAGTGGTGGACCCGCAGACAGACATTGCCATCCATCCATCCAACCATCGTCAACCGCTTATCCTGCGTACAGGGTCACGGGACATTGCCATCCATAGAGACATTTTAGGACCAAAGTGGTGGACCGGCCGACAGACACTGCCATCCATAGAGCCATGCCGCTAAAGCATGGCTAAAGCAAAAACAAAAATATATAAATATCTAAAAAATAAGAAGTAAACACTCTTTTTTTAACTTATATGTAGCTGTATTGTATTGTAATGTATTGACTATCCACTACAGTTTATTTTATTGCTGTAAAAACAGGCCACTGTCTGAAAATGTTGGAGGGAAATTAGTATTTGCTATACTTGGATTAAAATGAACCACTTTAAACCTGGAGATAAGGGATGTCAAAGAAGAACAGAAGGATAAAGTTATGGTAGAGAATTCAAAGAAAGATTTGATTGAAGCGCAATGGTCGTTATGATACTGTGGCAAAATGGTGAAAGAGGAAACAAGGGCTAAGTCTGGGACAACCTGTGAGGTATGCAAAGAACGAGCACCAGGGAGAAAAGGAGTCAGAGTGAAGGATTTCTCTGGCTCATTCTGGGTGTATTTACAGCACATACTAACACAGATACCAGATACGAAAACGGAAATGGCAACACAAAAGAATGAGCGGAGGAAATGAGGGATACAAGGATGATGGAGGGGAGGAACAGCAGACATTTTGTAGCAGGAAATGATGGAGCGATAACTGAGAAAAAGGGAGGAGAGGAAGAAGCAACAGCATCCAGGGGCCAGTTGTCTTTAAGTTCAAACTTAGCTTGTTATAACCTAAGTGTTTACTGAGAGGTCATTTACTCTTTATAAAACTAAAATGTGTTGCATCACAACAACATCCACAGACAGTAGCTATTAATTCAAGTTGTTGTAGCTAACTGAACCAAATGACAAAACCAGCTTGCTAATATGCGTCTGGTTTCAAGAATGTCAGAGGTCCATCTATCCATTATCTATACGTGCTGATCAGAGCTGAGTAGGGGGGGGGGCTGGAGCCAATCCCAGCTGAGACTGGGCGGGAGTGGGTACACCCTGGACAGGTCACTAGTCCACCACAGGGCACACAGAAACGAAGAACCGCTCACACTCACACCTGAGGGCAATTTAGAGCCACCTATTAACCTTTATGTCTTTGGTCGTAGGAGGAAGCACCTGGAGAGAACCCACGCAGACACGAGGAGAACATACAAATTTCACACAGGAAGGCCTGGGAGGACCAAGGATTGAACCCTGGATCTTCTTCCTGTGAGGCCACAGTGCTAACCAATGCACCACCGTGCCGCCCTCTGAGTGTCACAGGTAACGTTTAATATATATCTGACCTGGCACTTTATTGAAAACTGCTTTATGTGGTCAGAGTATGTTGCCTTTAAGAGTTATTGTCTGCTGGCTCAACTCAGACACTATGACAAAAAGTGTCCACAATATCCCTGATTAACCGACTTCATCACAGATGATAACTAGAACACAACACAATATACCTCAAATTACAAAAGGCTGTGCGCGTAACTAAAAGACCTACAAGGTTAGTTCGGCTGCAGCCACAGCCTGTTCACCCTGCTGCCTTCTGGGAAGAGATATAGAAGTTTCAGCTGCCGCACCAGACTGCAGAGCAGCTTTTTCCCCCAAGCTATCAGGCTTGCTTCTGTATTAATGTATATTGTCAGCTATGTAGCAGAGGGGAGTTACAAAGCTCAGTTTCATGATATAACCTGTTATATGGTGAGAATAGATGTACCTACCTACCTACCTTATAATCAGAAATGTCCCTCATACTTTACAAAGGATTTGCAATTACTGTAAGTTTAATATTTCGTTTGGCAATCTAAAACTAATTTTGGGGAAGTTTTGTTCTTCCTGTTTACACATCTGATTGCTTTTACTGTAACTGGATGGTGTTTCAGATGTTTCCTAGCAAACAATTTACACATTACAAAGATCTTTACCATCTAGGACATTCACATAGTTAGCATGGAATTTCCTGTTTGTGTTTCCCGGGAAAAGTGTTTCCTTGCTGAGATGTGTGGAGGGACAGTAACATACTAACACTACTAACATTAGCAATTATTTGGAAGCTTTGACCAACTCTGATTGCTGAAGCCTCATGTTAATGTATTTGTAGCTAAATTTCAGAATGAAGTTTTGCACAGAAAAAAGAATCTCCGATCTCTTACAAAGTAGTTGCACTGGGAAGGGAGCTCTTCATGGCCAGTATTGGCAGGAAAAATGAATACAGCCAAAAACTTGTACAATAACTTGGACACAGAAGCCTTATAGTCAATAAAAAAAACCCTGAAACTACCTAATAAGACCTTAGAAAATATATTATTTAAGAGAAGAGACGAAAGGAAAGGACGGAGAGCTTTAGGAAAGAGCTGCAGAGATGACGGGTCAAGTTTGGGGAGGCGAGAACAAAAAAGAACAGGAATGGGTGGAGGTGAAAGAATGTAGACAAAGGTGGCAGAGAGACACAGTCTAGAGATGGAGATTAAACTGTACCGGAGCTTAACAGAGCCAAAATAAGGAGCAAGTGAGAGTGGGCAGGCAGAACATTTACAGAATCAGTGAACAAGGGAGTGAGAGAAAGAGAGAAAAGAGAGTGTAGCTCGAGGGTAAGAAAGAAGAAAGGTCTCATTGAAGGAAAACGAGAATAAAAGAGCGAGAGCTTGTAGAAAGTGGAGGGCATGATTTAAAAAACTGAATGTGTACAAGCAATGATAAAACAGCTAATGCACATATGTAGGACTGTCTCTCTCTGCCGAGCTTAGCTCGCAGTCACATGGCCGCAACATGCATACTATCTGCCCTTAACAACAGGCGCAGCCTTTCATTGCAGAATTAATTCTCGTTGTCTCAGCAGACGGACGTGGCCTCTCTCTCTCTCCCTCTCTCTCTCTCTCTCTCTCTCTCTCTCTCTCAATTCAAATTCAATTCAAAATAGCTTTATTGGCATGAATGTGTAACAACAATATTGCCAAAGCATCATACATACTACACAAGAACAATCAACCCCATACATTTCATTAAACAAGTAATTAAAGCGTAAAGCGTCTCTCTCTCTCGCTCCTTCATGCATTATAAATACCCCATTACAACTTGTTGACTTGCACTCTGTGGCCCTGTGGCATGTTGACAGACCACTCTGCAGACAAAACTAATCAACAGCATCATCATTAGGCGCACCAATGGACAGGCAACCCGCACTGATTGGGTTATTTCGCCACATCATGGGGCCCCAGGCCTCTGTCTGAACCCTGTCTATTGCAACCAAACTCAACAGGGTTAAGCTAATAGCCTAATCTAATGCTGTTGAAGTCACGCACAGATACCCTGAGGGTGGCTACGTCTCATTCTCCTTGTCTCCAGATCATATAACAATTAGTCTTCCGTCCTGCGCTGTAGCTACAGTGTATCAGGAAGTGGCGGGCCCAGGCAGGCTTCTGATTGGAGGCCTCCAGAGATGAGGTGAATGCCAGCTGGCAGTGAGCGCAGGCCAGACAGCCAGGCTCAGTTGCACAGATCTGAGGGACAATACAATGCTGGCACACACAGTCTGCTCGCTCTCATTTGGGATGTGTGTCTGTGCATGACAGCCTATGCATGTGTGTGTGTGTGTGTGTGTGTGTGTGTGTGTGTGTGTGTGTGTGTGTGTGTGTGTGTGTGTGTGTGTGTGTGTGTGTGTGTGCTATTTTAGACTTGAAAGTAGCTTACTTTAAGCAGATCCTTGTGAAAATCTTGGCCGTCGTTCAGTCCTTCCAGGTTGCCAATAAACTGTGTGCACGACATCCTCTTGCCGATGTTCTGAAAGGGAAGAAATGTAAATTTACTATTTATTTCATACTTCTTACACAATCCTCACACCCTTTAACACTGACCGCCTCCTCCATGCGGTCTGTTTCAATTAACTCAGTGAATTTGTATTCAATTTGTAATTCATTTTAAAGCAAGGACCTTTCTCTATTAAAAGTTATTATGTGCTGTCTATGAAGAGCTAAAACAGAATGAAGCCTCTTTTACTTTTGAATTAACTATAAATTAAAAGAATAGTTAACCCCAATCAAAGTCTCTCCTTTTTAAACATACCCCTTATAAGTTAACACATATAAAAATGTGATCAATGTGATATTTAAATAGAAGCAATGTGGAGGTGAAATAAAGAACAAAGATGATGATGATGATGATGATGATAAATGTAAAATAATTTGTAAAGGGAGTATTTCAGCTGATGTAATAATGGTGACAGTGATAATCATGATGATCCTGTTTAGTGTTGAAAGGATTTGTCGATAGGGCCAGGTGCCAAACCTTAACGCTTAGCAGTGCCATCCGAAGTCTGCCAATAGCACTGGTTATTGAAACTATCAGAGTACCAAAAGCTGGCATTGAAAGCCTGATCATACTCTTAAGTTTCTGTATTCTTTGATCAGATCAATCCTAATAATTGCCAATTTTTAAGGCCAAATACTTGTGTTTAAACAACATTTTATATATAAGAAGGTCGGCTTTATTTGTTAAATGTGTAGAAAAAAACATGTTTATATTTCTCAAATAAAGGTGCCGAATAAAATACTGGTTTGATATCAGTTCTGAAAATTAGGTACTCGTCTCAACTACAATTATACACAATTTTTATAATCAAGTAATGATTTAAGACATTTGTAAAAAAGGTTAACTTTTGCACATTCAAGCTTCAAATGTGAGGAAATGCTGCGTTATATTATTCTCAATTTAACTTCTGTTACTGATACTGTTGGTTGGACAAAACAAGCACTTTAAAGACGTCATATTGTGCTCAGGGATATTATGAAGCGTCATTTTAGAATTGATTACTGTTTTAATCCAAAAGTCTCAGCCTTTATCAATCACGCCCCTCTGTCACTGTGATAATCTGTGCGTAGAGGGTAGTGACGATGACCACACTCACAACAAAGATCATCTTAAAAGTGTATGTCCTTACATTTGTTGAAACTTTAAAGATCAGCTCTCCCCTAAAAGGAGCTGATCCTCTATCCAGTCACCTCTGTAGCCACTTTAATTAATCATTCATTTGCAGGGCTGCACTATCGCTGAGAAGAGCCGCCAATGGCCCAGATTTGCGAAAGGAGGCTCTGACTATAAAAGAAGCAGATTAAAGATGGTGAAAGAAGCTTAGTAGACAGACCTGCAGACCCAGATCAGCTGGTGATCAGACTTACAGTCTTATATTCCCCAAACTCAGTTAAAACTGCCTTTGAGGATAATGCAGCTCTTAAAACTTGATCTTTTATTTGTTTATCCTTTGCCTTGGCCAGTTCGCAACACCTGCAGTACCTGCACATTTAACTGTACAGTAGATTCTCTTTTACACACCAACGAACTCATCCAAACACAATGTATGCTCACATGTTTGTTAGTTATTACTCACCTGACCATGTAGATCGGTGTTCAGCAGCATAAGGGCACAGGTGAGCGTGTGAACTGCGTCTAAAGGATGAAACAGTGAGTTAGCTTGAACTGCAAAATGACTTATACTCACTTAGATCGTAACTTTTTCTGTCAGCTTACACATACTTAAATTAAATATAATACCACATGTTATCATCCACTAGTATTAATTAAATTATCTAAAAAGATAACTCCCGGTTAGACTTGTTGTCAGCTTTTACTAGCCTATAGAACAAGTGACATGATTTTTCCAGGGATTTTTTAATTAAATAAATTTAAAATTTGTTTCAGACAACAGATTCCAGGGTTCCCCACATTGGGTTGCCTTGAAACTGCAACCCAGAGCACATTTTAATCAACATGTGTCAGCCACTGAACAACCTCTAACACCGAATACTTTTATATACTATATTGTGTCTCCTCCTACTGGAATCAAACATTGAATCAAAGCTCATTATACTAATTACTTGTCCTCGTTTGATTTCTTTGCTGGTACTTCTCTGCAGCACTCACCCTCTGATGGTAAGACTTTTGGATTGCAGTCCAAGTAGCGCTTGGAAAAGTGTGACAGCACCCTCTCCCTCTCCTGAGTCTCCCCCATCAGGGCAAACTGTCTGAGGAAAGTCCTGCAGCCACAAACACAGTAACAGTCAGCAGATCTTTTAACTTTTAAGATGACCTGTTTTAAATAGTAATAAGCATTATAGATAGTTAGATTATAGAAAATAGAAAGATTGATTTCATGTGTTTCCAGTTACTTTATACTTCTACTTCACTCCATGTCAGAGGGAAATGTTATATTTTTCACTACATTGTATTATTCTTTCAGCCATACTTGCTAGTAGCAACTTAAAAAATATGATGCAGTCTTACATAATAAATTTATAACTACAAGATATAAAATCCTTAAAACATTAAAATGCTGCTTAAATGGTAATGCAACAGTAATAATAATCAATGGTATAATATATGTAATGATGTAATATTAATATTAAGTACATAATAAGTCTTTAAGTACATTCTTGAAGGCAGAACTTTTTTACATTGTAGTATAGCTGCTTTTACTTGGCTTTGTTGGTCACTAACTGCTTATTAACATTTCTGAGGAAAGCAGATTTAAAAACACATGATGGTGTATAAAGTGAAACAGAAAAAAACTGCATAAACGGGAGTAGAAAATGTGTAGGTTGCATGCTCAGTTTATCAGTGCATATGATTACCTACTATAATGTTACTGTACAAACGTTTCACTCTAAATGCAAGACCAAAGCTGCCCTCTAGAGAGCAGTGTTTAACAGTGGAGAGTCTTCACCACAAACAAAGATAAAATCAAAACATCTGCAGAATTAAACCCGAAAATCACACAGAAGAAAGGATTACAAATCATCGACACATGTTTAGACCACAGTCATATTTTAAATGAATGATACTTTGATTCATTCTGTGATCATAAGATTATAGTAGTAGTAATAATAATAGTTTTTGGAAAATTCAACAACTTCCAGACAATGGTTGGCTATTTGCTTGATATACATTTAAGATTGAGCAATTTCAAAATATTTTATGTGATAAACAAGCAGGCAACTTGTCTTCATTACATCTGAATAGCCTATATACAGTAAATATGTTGAAATTAATTAAATAAATAATAAAAATTCATCCATGGCTGTATTGAATTTCTTGGACTGTGTGTTCTCACCGCAATGCTTGGTCAATCACGAGGCCTGTGAAGTTGAAGAAACTCAGATATTCTTCTGCTACCATACGACTGAAGTCATTACTGTAGACAAACAGGTATAAAATATCATAAGGAGAAATACAGCAATAGAAAAACAACATCGGAAGAAGAGACAAAAAGCACAAAACACTCCAGTGACCATAAAAGAACAAAACGTCAATCAAATGTTCAAACGCTATCATTCACAGCTCAGTGAAAGGCCTCAGTTTGGGCTGTCAATCAGTCAGCGTGCACTGGCACAGTCAGCTGGAGATGCAGACCAGAGGCCAGGAAAAAAAAATAGAAAAGAGGAGGAAATCCACAGGGTGCATCTGCCAGAAAGTGAGGAAACCCTTTAATCCAAAATTCTTTCTCATCAGCACGAGCAAGCAGCTGACAGACCGACGGGCTGATCGAGCTGCACAGCAGTGGACGAATGCAGATCTACCAAAACACAGCACTTGGTAAGCAGTATGTAAAGTGGCATACAGTAAATGTACTGGAAACTGAATGTGCACTAGCAGATTAGCATTCATGAAATAAACATACGATGCAGTACAAAGAAACTGGTTCCAATGCAAATCATATCCCTGTTTTAGAGTAAGCTAATTAAGAGAAGCTGTATTAGTAGAAGAAATATTATTACAAGACAATTTATGTGTTTGCTGCTTGGTGTGTCAAAAGAGGTGCTAGTTTGTTGTAGTGTACACAATAGCTACCTATAGCAAATGGATGCTAAATAGTTGCAAAGGTGTTTCGTGTGTGGTAAGTAGTTAGAAATGTGGATCACCGACTACAAGTTACCCTGTTTGTTGTGTAACTATTTTAATTAGTTCATCAAAGTAATGTAACTTATTACATTTATTTACTTTTTGATTACTTTTCTAAATGTCTAATAAAAGTTACTTGGGAACTATTTTCAAAAGACAGCTTGAGAGGCAGTTTAACTGGCAGACAGCAACAACTCTGCCTCTGATTGGCTGGTACTCAACAGCCAGTCAGAGGCAGGACTGGAGTGCGTCTTGGTTGATATGGCTTTCAGGGTGCTTGCTAGCACCCCAGAAGGTTTTCACTGACAGGTTGCCAAGTTGTTCAAAGTGGTTGCTATTTGGCAGTTAGTCTTTTGCTAGTATGAGGTGGTAAATATGGTTTTCAGCGTAGTAGCTGAGGTGTTCCTAAGTGTTTCTATGGTTTCAGTGTGGTTGATAGACTAATTGCAGTGCATTTCCGAGTAGTTGCTTAGCTGTTTCTTTGGCTTTTCAAACAGTTCCTAAGGCTTTTGTAAGTGTGTTGTGGATGGCGTTGGGTAGCAGACCTTCCTAACAGCAGCTAACTGGTTGGTAGCTATAAAAAAGAAGCAACAGAATGATAATAATATTACATGTAAAGGATTAGACCACGTGACAAAACAAGCACTTGCCACAACACAACAACTCTCTAGCAGCTCACTTCTTGCTGAGGTGGCGTGCCACATCGGACTTCTTGAAGCCATCCAAGTTGAAGAGACGTTTGGCCAAGCGTTTGGCGGCTGCTAGGTCGGCCCGGTGGCTGCCGTTTGTGAGCGTTTCACTGCTGCCCAGACCAAGTCTGTCACTGAGGTCGTGGTCCAGCTCAGAATCTGTCGCCAGACGTGCCTTCTCCCTGCTGAGACGAATCAAAGGTTGAAGAGAGGGCAGAAATAGTGAGTGATTAAATGACAAATGGATGGACACAAAAGGATGTGGAAAGATGGGAAACATTTTACATTTTACATTTCACTCCAAAAGTTGAAAATGGGACCAAGAGAGAAAGAGGAGGACAACTGACATGGATTGGTAAATAATTGAAAAGGAAAGAGAGAAAGGGATAAAAGGAGGAACAAAGAATGATGGTGATATAATAATAAAACTAATAACTCCAGTATATTAATAATTTAGTAATATTAATATCTGATCTGTTCAGCACAGATCTTAAATTATACTTTCCAGCAGTATGTGATGTTTTAACACCGGAATACTAAAATAAATAAGGGAGAGGTGAAACCAGTAAGAAATTAGATTATAAGATAAATATCTGTTATATTAAATAATATAAAAACATGCATGATGAATGGTGAGTGGATAGAGAAGGATGATAAAAGAGGTATGAAGGGATGAGAGATAAAATTTATAATGGAGACAGAGCAGAAATGAATGAGATCAAATACAAAGTAGTAAACAAAGATCATATTTTACATTCATTCATTAAGTATAACATATGCAAATCATTTTATATTCAAACATTTTTGCCATGATTATACACGTTAACAACTGCATTCAAAATCTCTTTTGCCAGCTTCCTCGCTTTCACGTTATCACTTCCTAATTAAGCCCCTTCAAAGCATTAAACAGTTCAGAAGTGCAAACTTATTACATCTCATTATTCTGTGGTAATAATTTAAGCATGTTATGTCACTCTGAGCTAAAAGAGAAGTACTTTTCTGGCTTCTGCAAGAATATGGATGACAGAAACGAGGTCCCTGAGTTCAGATACTTGGAAATCGACATGATGCTGACATTTGTCGCTGCCGTCGAGAGCTGTGTGACAATTCTTGTCACCACAGCCGGCCAGAGAAAACAATGACAGCTCAACAGCTGAGAGTTGTATTCAGAAAAGCAAGAGACACTTCCTGAACAAGCAGAGCTCTCATTTGGATTTCTCAGCATGAGGGACAAGCCAAGAAAACCCACAGTCCCAGGGCTTTGCTTCCCACACTTACACATCCTTATACTGTCAATGAGTCAGGATAAATCACACCAGAGCAAACAGTCATTAATAACACAAATCGACTAAGTAAGAAAGCTGCAAGAGTCCAATGGTCAACTTTTGTTTCACAAAGCAGCCTACACAGAAGAGCAACACTAAGTCTGCAGCCTGCCACTGTGAGGTTGTACTAAGACACAGCAGTGATTTGACCTAAATGCTAACATCAGCTAGCATGTGCAACGTTTACCATGTTCACCATCCTGGTTTAGTGTGTCAGCATGCTAACATTTGCTGATGATCAAATGATGGAGCTATATGAAAAGTCTGATGTTTACCAAAGTTAGCACAAGTCATCCTGAGGGGGGTGTGAATGCCAAATTTCATGGCAATCCATTCGCTCGAAACGACATATGTCGACCTGATAGAAAAGTCAGGGGATCGCCAAAGTCATTAGGATACTTTGTGTGGGCAAAATGGATATCTCTACCAAACTGCATGGCAATACATCCAATTGATGTTAGGACATTTCACAAAAGAGCACAAAAGTGAACCTCATGGTGGTGCAAGAGAAAAGGTGAAAAGGAACATCTGGGAACCTCTGCACAAAATGTGCTGCTAATCCAGTGGTGCTCACACTTTCTGTCATATCCCGCTTCAGAAGCCAAAAAAAGTTTATGCCCCCCACCCCAGCAAAAGTGGACTAAATTTTTTATCAATCATTCGAATCAATACAGGCAAGTGAAATAAACTTAAGGTTAACAAAATAGCCTTGCTAGCATCAGAGCACTTTTGTTTATGTCACCACATGACTCATATTCATGCAACTGTGCCCCCCCCCCCCCCCCCCCCCCAGGTTGATAATCACTGTGCTAAAGGACAAGTCAGGAGGCCACCAAAGTAGTTCTGAAGTCTTCCTCTTGGGTCCACGAAGAGATTTCATGGCAACATATAGGTGTTTAGAAGACATTTCACAAAGAAACACAAATGTCAACCTCATGGACATGCGAGATGTAAAAGTCAGGGGATCACCAAAGTCACTAGGCTCCTCTAGTGGCTGAATTTCCCCAAATTAGATCTACTCTGCATCCATCATTACTGTTATAAAAGTGAAGTGAACAAGCTTGCAAATATACTCTGCACCTAAAAAGATCATTTCAATTTTCATTCTGGCCAAACATGATATTCAAATCGTCTGATATCCATGGCAGACAGGTGAGACAGCTTCCTGGGTGGGACCCACCTGTGGCAAGAACGCCTAATCGTCAAATACCTCTCCTCTCCGACTGCAGATGAACCATGACAGCAGAAGACAGATGGTGTCCTCATTGCCGTCCCCTGAGCTGCACCTCGCCTCAGGCTGCTCGCCCGCCTGACCCCCCCCCTCCTCCCGGCCTCATAACCTGAACGCATCACCGTCCTGTCCAGAGAGCAGGCACTAACGCGGAGGAACACCTGTAGTCGCTCCCGAGCGGCCCGCAGACTTTGCCAGTCCTCTGCTTGGTTTTGAGTCTGACTGAGACCTCATGGGTCCCCCCCTTTTCTTTCCTCCACTTTCTCACTCTCCCTCTGTGTTTGCTGTCATTTGATCTTCACAGCAAGCGTCCTTCTCCCAAAGTAAAAGAGCTGTTTGTCCTGCAGTGCCTCTCCTCCTCTATCTTTTCCCCTTCGAGTCTGTTTGCTGTTGTTTCTGTTCCCTCTTTTCACTCCTCCCTCCCTCTCTCTCTCTTTCTCCCTCCATGTTCCACTGTGTAAACTCTCACTGTCCCTTGCTGACCTTGGATTCGGAGTATGGCATGAAACTTGGCTTGTCTGTTGCCTAAAAATCTCCCTTCCTTCATTTTCTACCGACCATTCATACCCCCACCGCCCTCTCTCTCTCCCAATCCATCCCTTGGGTGTTGTACAAATTCTAGTCTACCTTGTTTCTGGTGTGAGCTTTAAGCACACCTACAGAGAAAACAAAGATATGAGGTTTAATATTGGGTGTGTGCCTGTAAACTGTTTACTCTATACAACCATTACTGCCTGGGGGGAAAAATAGGTGGCCTTTTCCTAAACATCTGATGCCTTTGTGCAGTCTGTTTACAGCATACTCCTCACCCGGGCCTGCAGGAGTGTTCATAATCATGAGATTAAGCCGGCGCTCTAATTTAGGCTCCGCCACCTGTCAGCATTGTCACATCAAGAACTAGCACAACTAGCAACTAACGCCAAGAGGTCCTGAGAGAATTCCTAGTGTCAGCCTCTGCTTTAACGGTATCCCTGCATAATTGAACCCCCTCTCAGTCCACTGAGCAGCTCTGCACAATGAGCCACTGTGTAATGGTGTAGATCGTCTGAAAAGGGTGATGTGAGGGAAGAAGGAGAGGGGGGTGTAGGGGAGTGAAATTCCAACTTTTATCAAAGTATGGACAAGCCTTCAGAAATATTTGCCTCGTGGACTCGCTCCTGGATTCCACAGCTCCCAGGGCTGCCCGAGTTCAGCCGGTTATAAAAGTGTGATAAGATCAGTTAAGCTAAGCAAACAACTACCTGAACTAGTCCGGTGTGATTTGTTTCACATATAAAGAGGAAGTTGTGACAAGTTTATCTTTAAAGACACTAATAAGAAAAAATGTGGTGCTGTTGTTAACCTTTCAGGGAGTATTTGTGCATTGCCAGCTGAAACTTGAGACTGGATTGCTTTTTGTGACACACACACACACACCTCTGTTCCTGCTGCTCAAAGTTACCCACCTGCATTAGACTCACTCCTATGAAAAAAAAGCACTTTACAGAATGTTTGCTGTCTTCTTCCGCCACCTAGTGGTCAAAGCAACAAGGAGACACTCTACCTCTGCAGTCTGTCACGGTAGGTTACAGTGACATTCACAAAACCAGTTTTTCTTACTGTCACACATAAACACTGTAGCTGTCCTTCCCCCACCACAGCAGATATACCAGCAGATAGACTGACGTCCCAGATTTTTTCATAGTTTGATTCTATCACATACTCGGCAGTAAGGATGATGTAAGATAGATTAAGATGTTTTGCTATGAAGAAATAAACAATTTTCTGCCGTCACACACATCATAAAGACAAAGTATTCTGGATATAAAACAAGTTCTCCTGTATTGCAGGTGGACGTCTGTGGAGAGTAAAAGGAAGTGTTTGGAACTGTGACAGTCAAGGTGAGTCCCTCACTGCTGCAGCAGCCATCTGCCTCTGTCTAACAAGCCTCACACACACACACACACACACACACACACACACACACACACACACACACACACACACACACACACACACTGCCTGGCACACAGCAGAGGGACCACAGGCAGCCTTCTAGCGACCTTCACTCTAAACTACTGGGCTCCAGAATAGCTCTGCAGCACTGCTCTGCACAAGGAGAAGGATCCAGACAGAGACACATTTGTCTGGAGACTGACAGCAGTCCATTAACGGTGTTCTGACCTCAGATAAAAGCCATCAAAACTGCATTAATACTGACTTAACATCAGCAACTCAGTAATTTGTAAGCTTCAACCGTTCAACCATTCAAAGGACGCGGGCTGACACGAGACCAGGTTAATTTTGTGTCTTTCTATGAGCCTGATTACCCCAAACTATCACTCTATATCTCTCTCTCTATCTATAAGCATGCATAGAAGATTATACTTGCTGTTGCACTAGCTGTATTTTAGTGTAGAGATAAACAGAACATTAAAGAAAAAAACAGAGAATGATATGCAACAACAAACATGACCCAGATTCTTGGTGAATCACCAAAGCACAGGTCACCTGCATATCAGTTGTCAACACTATTGCTTCACTTCCCGCTCACAGCATGTTTACGTTGGGGCTCCGTAGATTATGAAGAAAATATATTCATGTATTTTGACAAGACACCGGAACATCAAAACTATACAGTTTGTGAACTTGTCATTCTAAAACCACAAGCATTAATTACAATTACAAATCAGAACATTCAGCTAATTCTGACTTTTTAAAAGCTTTCAGTTTAATGGACAACTGAGATTAAATAGTTTGTGCCAAAAGTTCATTGAGTCCCTCCTAATGCAATGGTCAATCAGCATTTTTATATTAACAAAGCATCAAGTGACTACATGTAAAGTGAAAGTGGTTGCTCTGCAGTTCCTCTACAAAGGACTTTCAAGCTCATGTTTTGGTTTTACAGTACAGAACTTTAGTGTTTTGGTTCAATCCTTCCGGTCTCATCATTAACATCTTTTCTAGCAGCAAACTCACTGTACTCTCCGTGCTCTGCACAAAAACAGCAGACAGACACAGTTAGCAACAAGCTGTTGAACATAATGTAGTATTTAGCAGATAAATAGCCAGATATGTCCCTTAAGAGTTGGCAGAGAACAAAACTGAGCCAAAAGGAGGAGAGTGAATTTTGAACTTACGGATAAGGTAATGGTTGCTCTGTCACTGCCGGATGTGTATATAAGCGATTAACACATTGGCTCGTTAAACAAAGTTATAAGTTCATAATATATCTGTATTGTATTTATAGCTTCTGGCACTGTGTCCCAAAAACAAATCAGGTTTTAGTAGTGTTCAGAAGTTTGGTTACTATTATACCTGTCATGTGTGAACTCATAGGCACAGTAACATTTATCATGTCTACTCTACATGCTGCTAACTCACCTCGGTAATGAGAAAGAAATGTTGCTGTACCAGCTGCTCCCCAGCTGTGCATACTCTCGTCCTCTGGGTGGCGTGTCGTCTGAACCGCTGCTCAGCCTCTCGCTGGAGGGGGCTCGGGTGGCATCGGAGTCCCCGGTCACGGTAAAGATAGAATCGGAGAGGCTGGGCCTCTCATCGTGTGCCAGAGGGGCGAAGCTAAGCTGGACGATCTGCCTGGCGCTCTGGCAAACCGGAGCATGGATGGCAGGGGTTAGTGTGGGTAGGTCAAAGGTCAGGACCGTTTTGGTGCTCGAGGTCAGCAGCTCCTCGCTGTCCAGGCTGTTGTACGATGTCCCTTTGGCTCGGTGAGACTCCATGATGCTCTCAAAGTGACGGCTGAAGGTGTCCTCTACAGCACAGCGAGGACCAGAAACCAAGATGGGGGATTTCAGGGCTGGGTGGTGGTTATCAAAAAACGTTTCCATTGGTCTGCACAGAGAGGGAGGTTTTAGAAACACTGCAACAACACAGCTGTGTTTATAAAGAAAATCTTACATGTGTGTTAACCAAGGAAACATCTAGAAAAAGGGAACTCCAACTGATGTAATGTACTGTAGTGTTAGAGAGTTCTGACTAATTAATGCCACAAAATCTGTTTATGTTTTACTTGAAAAATAGGTTACAAGTCAGATCCAAATTCAGATCAAAATATAGGTCAAGGGGAAATCCTTGTGTGTTTGCAGGCTTGTGTGTGACTACGAGTGTGTGTGTTTCATGTGCTTGTGTTCACCTCTTCAGAAGGTGGCCAAACACCTCTGGATCCTCCTGAGCTGCGTACTGCTGTTTCCTGGTGTCTCCTTGCATCCTCACACTGGCCCAGCTCACCATTTCTTCCTCTTCCTCATCCTCCTCATCTTCCTCTTCCTCATCCTCCCTTCCGCCTCCTCTCTCCTCTGCCACCTCCCCATCTGTCCCTCCATAAGCCAGATCTCCCAGCGGGCTGCTGCCTGCCACTGAGGTGCCCTGCACACTGCGGTTACTCCCAAACGCAGAGTCGGCGTCTTCCTGCTCAGCCAGCAGCACCTCGTCTATGTCTGTCTCGCGGTAGCAGCGTAGTGGAATGGCGTCCAGGTCAGTTTCTGAATACTTTAGTGTGCGGCGAATGATGCCGGTTTTGGGCGATGTCCCGATAATGGCCGGGGGAGGGGTCACCAGTTCTACCTCTACGTGCTGCACGTCGTGATTGGCAGAAAGCAGAGGCAGGGAGGTTGGGGGAGTCGGGGTGGGAGACTCACTGGAGTTACCACTGGGAGGAGCTGTGGAGGCTTCTAGAGAATCTGCAGATAGAGTTAAACATCAGTGTGATTGGTATCCCTATGCTAAATTTCTACATACATATTTCTACATGTATTGTAACTACACAGAAAACACTTTTAGATCATTTACTTGCTCTAATCAGTGAACCAGAACCATAACAGGCTAGACTGAGTATCATACCTGAATACTTTTTTGTACCGACTGAAATATGCCCATAGCACGGAGTATTGAAAGATGGCATAATAGATCAGATGCATCATCTTGTTAACTTCATCTTTAATCAGACATTTACTGGTTTTAGATTAAATACACCTCACTCCCAACTTCTCTAAATGTGTATTGGAGAAGTTGTGATTTTAAAAACATTTATATTTTTCTTGTAAACCTAAATATTGTATTCTGTAATGTTTTTATTAAATACCTTGTATTTATAGTGATGTATGAGTCACATGACTAACAACAACCAAGTGAAGGTAACTGAAGGCCTATGAGCAATAAAGTACGATATATCAGAGATGAGTTGTGCTTATTATTGCTCGATTCAAAGGATAAGGCTGGTGATATTTGGCTCTATTGAGTATTTAAAGCAGCAGGGTGATGTATGTGTGACTGACCCAAAATAAACTGCACAGCTTGTATAATAAATCTCTATGGTACAGAGGAATAAGATCTAGCAGGCTTTCAAATTATACCAAGCCCTGTTAAAGGCGCTGAAAGATATTTTAAATCTGAACATGTTGCCTTAAATGACACTAACATGCAGCAATGAGACTCAACGGTCTTCTCTGTTTCCTTTATATCCCACTGAAATATTATCTTGTGAAGAATGAAGGAAAGGGAATAAGAAACCTTCCACTCTGTTCTAACATGAAATCTGAAGTGCAGTAACATGATGAAACTGAGGTGAACTCTCACTTTTTTCCCCCCTGCTAGGAGCCTCCTCATCAGGGGTCCCAAACAAAAACTCCCACTTGGCACGCGCGATCCTCTGACAATGGAGCGAGGGCACGGGCACCGCACAGCCACTGTCCGTCTGAGACATGAACACAGAGACAAGCTTGAGCTTTCTTGCAAATAAGCAAATTCCCCAAAATTCCTATTATGCAGTTAGTAGTAGCTAAGTATTAAAACAAAAAGTGTAATTTGTGGGTTTCAAAGTTCATGCAGTTCCCACCTGTATTCCTGAGGTGGCTGCCCCGGTCTCATTGCTCTGGTGACTGGACTGACTGGACTCTGGGGACACACAGTCCCTCTCCCCCAGGCTGCCTGTCACCCCACTAGAGCTCCGTGAGGACGACCCTCCCATCGCTCCATTCTGCTCCCCCTCTGGAGGCTCTTGTACCCTCTGCAAGCGTGGCTGCTGCTCTGCCCCAAATCTCTCCATCTCATTGCCCTGTCCTTCCTCATCACAGCCCTCATCCTCCTCTGGAGAGTCCAACACCACTGGTCCCAGAAGCAGGATCTCCCTCCTCCTCTGCTCAGCCCGTTTCTGCTGGGCTGTGGGACTGAGCGGCCTGCGGCGTTGACTGAATTGTTGTCCAGGAGTTTGGTCATTCATGGACCCAAATCCAGATTCAGGGGTTGGCCTTGGTCTGTTCTCCTCCTGATTCCCCCACTGTTGCCTGGATGTCCAGCTAACTGGAGCCTCCTCAACACACTGATTGATAAAGAGCCTGCGAGCAAGCTCTGTGCAGTCCTCTCTCTCAAAACAGCTCAGGTCTCCTCTCTTGTCCAGGCTCGAGGACCAGGAATCTCTGGTGTACTGCGGGAGCTGACGGCGATGCAGAGTTGGGGTATCTGGTGCTCGGAGCTCTGCTTGGAAAAGCCTGGGGTCCCTCATAGGAGAGCTGAGCTCAGTGGGAGGATGAGCGGGACGGAGCACGCGTGAAGGAATAGCGGGGGAACTCTGAACAGCTGGTAACATAGAGCTCTGATGCTGGGATTTCTGAATGAAGTCCTCCTGGTGTGTTTGATAATTAGCACGGGAGTTTGTTTCAAACGACTGTGACTGCAAGGTAGAGTTTTCAGGCTGGTGAGAGTCTGTGTTGTCAGTTGCTGGCGTGTGTTGGTCATTTAAAGGGATGTTCATCTTGAGCATTTGCTTAGACTGTTGTGCATTTGGAGATGAATTGTGAAATTCTCCGGTGTTTGAGCCTTTTGAAGGCTCACCTAAAGCGTTGTGCAATGAGGACCTCCTTGCCTCTGTGAAAATTGAAGATACTTTGGTAGCCTCCTCTGCTAGCCTGCGGGCAACTTCAGGGCTATGAGCCGGAGAAGAGGATTTACTGTCACTTAATTGGTTCAAGCCCTCAGTTACGTTATTGCCAAGCGTGAGGATTGCTCTCTGCGGCGAAGTGCTCCTGTTACAAGCCCTGTGAACATGTCTTTTGGTGGCTGGACTGCCTGCCACAGCTCTGTCCTCTCCTGACCAATGAAGATGGCTTGGGGACTCGGCATAGGACTCAGGCTTCGACTGAGGCGACTGCCTGGACTGGGAGGATAGCTGGTTTGATGCGGGGCTCCGAGGCAGCCCACAAACAGCCTGGCTCCTATCTGCGATGTGGTCTTTGGGGTTTATGCTGATGTTTTGACGCTGAACAGGAGAACCAGCCCAGGACTGACAGCGTGGCTGTTGGTTGTGGCGCAAGGACGAGGCTTGCTCAAGTGCATGGGCTAGTTTAATCCTCAGAAGAGGGGAACCAAACTCCTCCACAGCCCTCTGGGTAGCTGCCCTGCCGATGGGGTCCAAGGATGGTTGGCGAAGACCGGGAGAAAATGTCTGCTGGTGACTTCCTGGAGATCGGAAAGTCAGCTTGGGACTGGAGCCGCACGATGAATCGGGACTACCAAACCAAACTGGGTCGCTAAACCTGTTATGAAAGTGAGAGGGGGTGGATCTTTCCTCTCTGGTCCCTCTCTCGCACACAGAGTGGCGTGGACTGTCCACAGTCTTTACATTGGACTTCTCAATGTAACTGAAGGTGACCACAGACCGAGTACCATTGCTGACTTCTTCCTGGTTAAACCTCCGGCAGATGGGAGGTGTGTGAGGGAGAGTGACCTTTCCAGAAGAGGGCATTGGTGGAGAGTGGATCGCAGACGCTCCGTCACCGGGTGCACTCCAATTCTTGGTGACCGTAGGAGAGCTGCTGGCTTGCTGGATAACAGGGTTTCTAGAAGGAGACTGCCTGTGTGTGCAGTCCTGAACCAGACGGTGAGCTGGGGAGGCCTTGGTGACGCTCTGGCAGGTCGTCTGACTCGCTAACTGAGACAGGATCTCCGCAGGACTGTCCTGAACCGAATGCCCCTGAGCAATCCCTTCTTCATTTTCTCCAAATGTCACTTTCTCTCCCTTCTGATCTGGGGCAGACCTTACTTCCACATACAAATGAAGGACTTTTCCAGACTGGGACATGACCTCCTCTCAGGCCCTAATGAGGACAGAGAAACAGAAATGGAGCAGAGAGAGTCAGAGTGGAAGAGACAAAAACGGGATCTCCTTTGCCCTATTCCTTTTTTATTTGTTGGTTTGGTTTTTTGTTTTTCTGCTGGTGGTGCGTGTCAGTTTATTTTTAGACGGTCTTTCTTCTCCCTCCCAGAGCGTCTGTGTGCAGAGCAGAGACACACAGGCTGAACGGCCAGAGGACAAACATGCCCATGGGACACCTCCAACTGCTCCCTATTCGTCATACCTGTGAATGAAAGAAAGAAGGAGTTGTTTTCTTTTGTATCCTCAAATGGCGCTAGACACACACACTATATTCTAGTATAATGACGCACACGTTTAACGTGTTAGTGGTGCTTCCAGTTACTCTTAATACTTTCATTGTATCCGATCACAGTAAATTCTTTACATCTGTCTGAAACCATACCAGTATTAAAGGATAAGGCTGGGGTTTGTTGTTATTGTCAAATCCCATGAAAAGACCAAAACCAACAATGTGTATGTCCATCTGTCCAACTTCCCTACCCAGTCAGTGGTACTCAGCCACTAGCTGATTCATACCTTTAAAAACAGACAAATATCTAATTAACATTAAGATGGGATCAGTCAGAAAGCAAAGCAAATTTTAGAGGCGGCATGATTACAGCGTTTACACAATCGTGAACGTAATGAGACGAGGGGGACAAGCAGAAATACTGGGAGAAAGTAATTTGAGTTTATGGTGAGTTATGAGATCACACACACACTGGTTTGTGTGTACTTTGCTAGCTAGCTACAGCTAATATCTGCATAGTCTGTTAATTGCCTACTTGGGGTAAATAAACATGCAACAACACTCAACAACAGTTGCATCTTTTTCTTGACGTTCTGTCTGAACACACCTTCACTCAAAAAAGTATGTGGAGCATTTGTTGGAAACTATTTTTAGATCCAGATTAATACACATTTAATGCAATAGTATGTATTTATGGCAGCAAGACCTGTATGTGGGACTGACTTGGTATTAGGTGAATAATATATCATATTGCCAGCCTTATCCATTAACGTCTACAGCTGCATCTCAAACAGTGGAGTGAAATCTGTAGAATCAAATTTTCTGGCAGCCTGTTCCCTGATGCCCCATAAATAACGTACACACAAACTGAGGCTGTTTGACATGTTAATGGGTTCACACGACAATAAATAACAGTGCTTTAATCCTTTTGTCTTTAAGCAGAGTAACAGCGTTCTCTTTGCAAAAACAAAAGAGGAACAACCTGCTGTAGATAGCCAAGGTACAGTTGTAGAAGAGGGCAATGGGGCAAATGGCAAAAACAATGCTAAAGCGCCTCGCTTCAGATTGTTGCAGCAGGGTTAAACCATAACCCTAAAACCAAACTCCTGCCTCGTTACAGAAAATTGGTGCATTATAAAGGCATGCTGTTACTGTGAACACAGCCTTGATGGTCTAAATTACAAATTAATTAGGTTCATCTGTATTTATCTGTAAATGCTTCTTTTATGACTTCAGACTCTTCATCTTTCAGATAATGTGCAATAAAGTGGTTTTAACTGTAAACGTATTGAATGACTGTCCCTTGGCAATATCTCTTTTGAAAGAGATCTCTAGTGAAAGGACGCTCATTTTGAATCTGTTCTGAATGTCTACAGACATGGTCTTAACAAATGAGCCTTTCATTCAAACACTCAAAGTGGTTTTATAAAGACGGCTAAATGTTGAGCCTCTATATCCATAGAAAGTAAGATGTTGAAGAAGATGTCTAGTAGTGAGCCTGACACGAACGTAAATTGATGTACAAAATTGGTCTTAAAAACACAGAGTTGATAGACATTGGTCCAGATATAGTGCCCACCTGGGACATAATTTAATACATGTAAAAATGGATCACTGGGCCACATTTTAAAAGGCATATTCGTCACCTAAGAGCCTAAAAGCGGCTGTTATAACATATTTACACATTGACAGATTTGGCCATAAACCACACAACATTCAGGGGGAACATATGTTGTAGGTACATTTGTATCACAAACACAAATACATGATTAGGAGTCACGTGCCGTTTCACTATTTCAGCCCCTTTGTCCCCTTTTGACCTCATGTGGCCCACCCATTTTTGTTTTTCTCTCTCATCTTGCAGTCACTATTGCTTTAGTAAACACAAGTAAAAAGTCACAGCCTACTATAAATTTCTCAACAAAGGGAACACACATCCACATTTTTGAGGCGTTCACATGACCCGACAACGCCACAGATTAAAAAGACATTTTTCAGCAAAAAGTTGTTGGCATTTACTTATATCTACCTACTTTATTGTATGTTGCAATAGCTGTGTGTGACGCCCCTCCCACGTTTTGGAGGTTGACCTGGCCATCCTCAGTGGGCAATTGGCTAACTTGGGAGGTCGTCAGCTCACCTTGGCCCATGGGTTATAAAAGCTGGCACATGTATTCAGTCTGGTCTCTCCCTTTTTGCAGGTTACATCCATGCTGTGGCATCTTCTTTGCAGTTAGTTTAAGAAATTATACTTGTTTTAACTAAGTACTTTGCGTGGACTGCCTCATATTCCCTGAACAGTTTGTGAAGAATGGGAGTATGTTCCAATAGCTTTGGTGAAAGTGTTAAAAATGTTTATGCTAATGATGATGATGTTAAATTTATTTAAATTCTTCACAAACAATCGTGAAACCAATGGTTGATATTTGTTCCTCCAGCTCTTTCAGTCCTTGTTGTGCTCTGAGGAGTTTACTTGACAATCCCTGACAAAGATCTCGAGTAGATAATTTGTTGTTTTTTTTTTACTTTCTTAAATCTGCTGAAAGCAGACCACATCAGAACAATGTTTTTCTGTCCTCTAGGATCTGTACTGTGCCTTAAATCTCTTGTACATATTATTTTCTGTGGGATATACATTGTACTGTAGTGAGGTGAGTAGCTGTTTCATAGTATCAGAGAGAAGATGAGCTCATCCTGCTGGGAGAGGAAGCGGGAAATTAACCCTTACTTCCTCCTTTGCTCTCTGACTCACCATTGATAAGACCTGCTTATCTTACTTCTGAATGAAACAATTCAACGCTCAGGATTCAGTCACAAATGACTTTATTAAAAGTTATTGAGTTTCTGATTGTTGGAGAATAAATAGGCTGAAATGAATCATGCAAAATCAGATTATCGGATCAGATTTTATTTTAAAGGAATCGCTGTGGCATTGATGCAGCAATGATACTGAGCACTTCCTGTGTGCAAAAAGTATTCAAATGAATGTCAGCTAATTTAATTCGCTCTCTCAACCCATATCTGTCAAACCAAAGTTCACTGACTACTCAAACATCAGAGCCAGGACCCCTGCGGTGCTCAACCACATCATACACCAAACACCAACCTCTTATCACAGAAATGTCTTTGTTATTCTGTGTTTAAATCCTGTGCTAGAGCCACTTTTTTATCTTCAGCTAAATCCCTCGACAGTTACTCAACCAAGCTGAATTCCCTCCAATTGTCATCCTTCTGTTTATCGTTCATGCAAAACGCCAATAATGCCACAGACAACAGAACTCCTCTGTTTAAAAAAAAAAAGTCACTTGATGGTGAACTCCAGACTGCTGCCAGCAGCGACAGATTGGAGTTGCCTTATGGTAGCTGTGGGAGACGACGTGTGTGGTGAAAATTGAAGTTGACAGAACAAAGAAGAACTTGTGAGGGACTTGGCACGCAAGGCGAGCAACTTTCCCTCCTTGACCCCAACTGATGTCTCTGCCCTCGCTTCAAAGAGACCAAACTCACCAATCTTTTCTTGGCTCTTAATTAATTTACCCAGCCTCTCAGCATGGAGTCGTAGCAACATTTGTTAGGCTTTCTGAACTTTACATTCACTACTGGCCGTATGATTAGGCATTTTTAATTCATTGTGGATAACAGCATTTGCAAAGTTCCTTAATTTATGATGCAATAAAAATGTTTCCCTTTCTCTGGTTATAATTAGCACACAACTTTTACAGCCCCACCATTTATCACACTCCGTCTTTCTCTCATTTTCACGCCTCAGAGCTACTGTTCCCACAGATACACCATTCACAAAAGAGGCCTTTGTCCAGTTGTTGGTGGCTCCATGAAGTCCCATTGTCTATAAAGGTGTGAAGAAGACGACATGGCATCTTGGGTACATCATACATGTGACAGAGATTGTAGATTTGATTTGTCATCTTTGTCACTACTTCCGCACTAATCTGGCTATAACTGAAAATGAATCTCTCTGTTTTGGCCCTTTTGTCTGAGCTTTTCAAAACCAGTCCATATGTGAAAAAACCTGAAAACACGGCTTGCATTGAGTGTGGACGAGAAAAACAAAGCTCTTGGAAAACAATGGTGCAGGCTCACAGTCAGGAGCTGTGTGGCAGTAAAGTTAGTGGGTGTTAAAAAATGTAAGGGGCTGCGTTGGTGTGGTTGTATTGCTTCAGTTATCGGAAGTTTCAGTTTAAGTTTCAGTTTAAGATGCCAAAACACTGCACATACAAAGTCATTTAATCTGTCATTGTGCCAATCTTAAAGTAAACTGTAGAAATTCACAGTACTGAGTCATCTACGTGTTATGTTTTGCTGGACGACCATGCATTGTTTTTGTGGGGCGTCGGCACCCCTGCTGCCTCAACTGAGGGGTCCCATTCAACAACTGAGCTTTTCTGTAACACTCTAAACTGGACAAGTCCGAAAACACCATATTTGTGTTTTAGTGTGGTCGAAGAAAACTGAGCTCATGGAAAATGATTAGAGGCTGTGACACGGTAAAGTTAAAGGATAACTCTGGTATTTTTAAACCCTTTTTACATATTTTAGTGATGAAATGACTAGTAGGTGCAAAAAGTTTTGAATCCGTGCAGTAGATGGCTTCAGCCGGCAGCAGCGAACGACTGCAGCGGCTGCAACGTATTCCTGTGGGGCAATTATGCCCATCAAAATTACATCCACAAAAAGTGCTTATTATTGCCACAGACAGGCTCACACTGTTACACCAGGGGTCTGACAACATCGTGGAACGGATCCCTAAGAGTAACACCCGGTGACACCTTTTGGTTTTAAGAGGAAATTGAAGTCTCGCTCAAGGTCAATTCTCGTTGTTGCAGGAAATGCTGGTTGGATACGAGGGAGAGGAGTTTGTTGTGTACATAGAGGAGCTGCTTGCAAGACATGATTGCGTAACGTTACTCCAACACAACAAACTTGTCTCTCCAACTCTGACTCACGTTTCCACC